GCCAATGAGTAAGTATCAATGGAAGACAGCTTCTACTCAGATCCAGCAGATTACTGCTAGAAATGCTCCTTTTTCAAGAGCCATCAGAAATCTGAATTTTTAATGAAGTCCATTTATGTATATTGGACACTAATGAGAATATAAAAACATTATAGATGCCAAATATGTCTACAGACTATATCGCCCCCAATGACTGTGGGTGTACATCTTTGTGTTATAGAATAGGGTCCAAAATCTTTTGGGCAGCTTTTTAGTCCTCACATGTCCTGGCTTTCCACTGCCTTATTCCCTGAAATGGTTCACCCTGCATCAAGTCACTCTTACCCATTCTCAGCCTTCATCTCACTGGACATCTCACCCTCCCCCAGAAGACCTCTGGGTCAGGGTTCACTCTGTTTCTCCACCTATGATTGTCTTCTGCTGGCCCTCATCCACTTCAAGGTCCTATAGAAGGTGCCACATGAGCAAGATTGGAAGGACAGGTAAAATATCAACATGTATAAAAAAAGAACTGGTAAGGGGATTCTATTCAGAAGGAATAGCATGAACAGATACACAGAAAGAGGACAACAAAAGAATGTTAAAAACCACCGAATACTTCTATGACCATGACAGCTTGATGTCATCACTTATTGAACATTTATTGTGTATCTAGAATGGTGTTAGTTCTTTGTATAAATTCTCTCTAATCTTCACGAATATTCACTTTAGGTATATCCTGAACTTCAGCATTAGATGAAGGAACTAGCCCCAGATTTAATCATTTGTAAGCATTTAAACCCAGGTTTGTCACCAAAGATTATTCTCTTTCTACCACAATAGAGAACACAGGGTTCTACCCTATCATAGGCAGTTTATACAAGAAGGCCACCACTCCTGATCCACCCTCCCCACCACACCCACACCCCCCCCAACCACTCCCCACCCCCCATGCTGCCTTTCCCTGCTGGTTCCATACAAGGTCTCTAATGCCCTAGTGTAGAAACTTCCCAATTGTGGTAGGAAATTTGTAATAGGGCAGAGGCCTCCTGAAGGAGTGAAATGAAAGTGAAAGGAAAAATTGGCATGGGCATCAAAGGTGGAGAGGAAATGTCTTCCTGATACTGATATGTATAAAGAAAAGTTTTGTTTTGCTCAATCTTAGCACTGCCATGTATTTCTGTAAGGACAACCCCTTTCCTTCATCACTCAGAATGTCTGTCAAGATATGTGGCAATCTGTACTTCACAGCCCACATGAAAATCTGGCCCACAGTCAGCCCCGGCTGGGAGGCTGTTCTCTGGCTCATCAATTCTGAGGTCAGCCCAACTGGCTTCAAGCCTTAGAGCTGCAAGGATGACACATGGGAGAAATATGTGCTCATTTTCCCCTCCTGCGAGGTGCCAGCTCCCCTAGAGCTGCCTGAGTCACGAAGGTTCCCATCACTCTGAGTCTGAATCCTCACTGAAGTGGCCCACAGTGAAGCAGCTTCTCTGGGGGCATGTTACAAGCTGCTAGGTAAAAACATCTGCACCACCATTATCAATCTCCTGTCTCCCTCTTAGGGGCTTCTTTTTTAATACAACAACAGGCTAGCTGAGCTAAAGAATATCAAAAGCCTTGTGAGAGCTTTGCCATATGCAGGCCAAATTAAATTAAAGGGCATAATCCTCACTATTGTACTTATCAGCATTAAAATAGAGGATTATCATCATGGGAACAAAGTCCCAGGACATAAAAGACTATTTCCATTCTGTCATTCACTGTGCACAGTAACAGGCTCATGTAGGAAGTGGAGCAGAGAAGCAACTCACCAACCACTGACTTGTACTTGCAACCTGAGGTTTCCTTCTTCCCAGCCAAGTTAATCCCACCCTTTCATGCACAGATGGGAGCACTTTTTTCATGAGGCTGTAGGCTTTCTCCCAAGAATTTGGTAATGGAATTTTCTCCACCAGTTTCAGGATGACAGTTTTAGGCCAATCAGAGTTTATTCCTTATCTGATTATAGTTTAAGATTTGCTGCCATGACAGTTGTAGACAACATATAGTAGAAAAACCTGGAGGTAAGCATTTGGGGTTTAGAACCTGGAGAGCCAATAGATATACTGGCTAAACATGTGGGCTCTGGCATCAGACAGTCTGTGTTCAAACCCTGACCCTTTTGCTTTACTAAGTAACATTGGCAAATTACTTACTAGTATCAGAATTAAAAAATGTATAGGGTTGTTGCAGGACTAAGTAGCATAGCATGTAAAACACTTAGCACAATGTCCAGGAAGTTGCTAAGGAGTATGAATTATTAATTCCTATTATTGTTGGAGATAAAATATCTGGATTCAAACCCCTAGATCTGCCACTTATTCTCTATGTGACACAGGTGACTGTCTCAGATTGGGGGCTGGAGTAGGTAAATCTGATACCTCCACACCAGTCCTGGTTCTGGGCCAGCATTTAGGACTTAACTTCATTTGCCTTCCCCTGATTTGATTGACTTATTCATAGCATGGAATAAGAAATGCCAGCTCAAGAGGCTGCTGTGAAATTACAAGACAATTCTGGGTAAGACCTGGCATTGCAGGAAGTGTTAGGTGACTTCAACCTGTCCCTGTCACTCTTATTCTCGGCAATATTTCTTGTCATTTCTTCCTTATGATTTTACCTTTTCTTCATCTTTCCCTGGTACCTATCTTCTCCCATCATTACCCATTCAGGGCTCTAAGCATACTTTGTTGATTCCTCCTCCAAATCCTTTCTTCTTTCCTTCCTCTTTCTTATAGGAGCGAAAATGCTGACGCTCACTTTCCCAACCTCACATGAGACTCCCCTGCAGAGGTCTGCCTGCAAATTCTCACCAATGAGGTATGAGGGAAGTGTCGGGGACTTGTGGGAAAGGTTTCCTATCTGAAAAATGGAGAGGGACTTCATCCTTTCTTAATTGCTTTGGACATTTCCATGTGAGAAAGTGATGCTTAGCACCGCTTTAGCCACCTTGTGAACACAGTGGGGGCATCACTGATGTACTGAGCAGAGAGACAGAAAGAGCCTATGTCCTTGATGATTCCACAAGCAGTTACTCCAGCACAAGAACTTCTATCTCAGGCCTCTTGCAGGCAGGACCCTTGGATCTGTTGGTTGGAGGTTCTGTTACGTGCTTCTGAGGGCATCATCATGGGTACAACTCAGCTTTCGTCTTTTTGTCCATCTTGCTTCCTTCCAAGACTTCCTCCCTTTTACCCCCTGGTTGATTCATGGGATATGGGGGTGACCATCAAACTCAGAGGGAAAATGGGACTCCAATCCATGGGGCAGGGGAGTCCTGACATATAATCAATTAGTAAATCTGGATCATGTTGTTGCTGCCACCACCCAATGACTGAAAAGGAAGAAAACTTCTTTCATAAAAACTGAGATTTGCCTGGGATGTCAGGTGGGTTAAAAAGGAGAATGATGCCAGAAAAAACAGAGGCTAAGGAACATCTTGGAGGAAGAACTTGAAGAGGTGTAGCACAGACGCCCATAATTTAAGGAGAGCGTAGCCTCAGAACTGAATGCTATAGGATATGATGAAGAGGCTCTAGAGACTGGGAGATGAGCTTCCCAAGGACAGTTATAGGGGCATAGTGATGGCACTGATCAGATTTCACAATTAAGGAGAGTGGGCTTGGTGAAGGAATAAGGCGGTTGACCTAGATGGTAGTCTGAGAAAGTCTAATGGTAAAGCAAGTAGCAGCAGAGGCAGGGCTAAGATTAGACTTCTGTTAGAATGGGAAAAGGTAAAAAGAAAAGAGAGGCAGCAGAGAGAGAGAGACAGTGTGAAAGGATGAGTTGGGCTAACAGATAGGTGGCACGGCCTGCAGGGCAGTGAGCCTTTGCGAGGAAGAGGACCTGTGTTCTCTTAAGATGAGAGCAAAGGAAGACAGTACAGCTGAAGATACGGAGAGATTCTGAGGAGGAGGAAAAGGAAGTGAAGGTGCTCACAGAACTGTCCTGATATTTTAAGCAAAGTTAGCTATCAGCTGAGCTTGAAGAAAACCAGCCAGGGCTGGAGCCACTGGCAAACTGGTTCATTGACTCGCCCAAGGTCAGACAGCTGGAAATGTTAGCATTAGGACCAGAACGCAAATCTTCCACTTGCCAACTTTAGTGGTGTTTCTGCTGCACCAAAAATCCTAAATTTTGTTATTCTAATATGTAATGTTAGGTCTATAATATTTCCTTAAGTATTCTTAAATGATGGTCACTATTTAGGAATAGTAGTCTACTTTAAAATAGTCTAACAAAAATTTGAGACCAGTAGAGAAATATGGATAATTTAATTTGTTATGTCTCAAAAACATTAATAACAGTCTGAAAAAGTTATTTCTAAAAAATTACAAATCAAGGGCCTCCCTGGTGGCTCAAGGGGTTAAGCACCACACTGTGAAGCAATCCGCAGCCTCTGCAGCACGAGTTCGATCCCCGGCCAGCCATGGAGAAACCCACATGGCGCAGCAAACCTCCTCTGACTCGCCCGCTGCTCCCCTCAGCAGTGCACTTCAGTCAATCTGCCTGTTCTGCTCCCCACTCTGTCTCTGGTGAATCCTCTCATCCCCTGCATGTCTGGCCTGTACTCCAGCTCTTGTATGCATAAATAAATAAATCTTTAAAAAAAATTACAAATCAAGATCACCTTTTTCTCCATGTGGAAAAAATACAAAGAAATTTCAATTTCTAATGCTCTGCTTCTTTCTCCAAATCCTGGAATAAACTTTCAATGAAATTCCTCACAATCAATTTGGGGGAAAATAAAGGCAAGTCTCATTCTAGTTAGAGGTTTCCTTTGTTGTAATTTCCTCCTTCCTGCAATTGTGTGCTCCTCCTGGTGATATATGTGACAGGGCCTGCAAACCTCTTTGGAAGGGAACTAGGATATGAGGCTTCCCTGAAGAACAGGAAGTCAATGAAGTACTGCTGTTTCACTGGCCATTGGAACAGAGTCCCTGAATTAAGACTGGGAAAGCTTTTAGATTAAGACTCACCGATTTTTCTCAGAAACAGCTGGAGTGTTGCTTGAAGCCTCTACATTGCCATTGTTGGATCCTGCTTGCGGACTGCTTTTATGGTCAATGGAGTCCCTCAGAACTGAGAGAAAAGAACAAGTATTTAGAGGCCTAAGAAAAAATTCAGAGATAGGAAGAAGAGTTTGGATTCATGTTGTAGTTTGAGAGACACTACCCCAAGGCCACAGATTCTTAATTCTGGCTGTATATTAGAAATTCCCAGGAAGATTTTGAATATACTTGAGTCCAGCTCCCAGAGATTCTGAAATTGACCTGGAGTGGGGTTGGCATCAATTTTTAAAAACTCCCCAGATGATTTTAATGCACAGCCAGTGCTGAGAACCATAGTTCCATGTAGTCACTACCAATCAATTAAGCTAGGGAAAAAACCTCTACACCTACTTACAATTCCTATTTTAGATGATCTACAAACATCCAAACAATGAACAAAAATAATCTACAAATTTGGAAGATGCATAAAATGCAAAAAGTTGAAGTGATAGTCGGACATGTAACAAAGGCATTGCAAAAAATGAAATGAAAATAAATTGGGTTTGTGTTGTCTGTTCTGAGAAGAGCATGCTGATTCTATATTAGTTTGGTTACTTGGACATAAATGTCCTCATGTAGAAGAAATATAATTCGGTGAGTTTCAGTAGGAGATAAGACCATCTGTTTTTGGTGTTATTGTTACAAAACTTAAATGGAACATCATTACATTTTTACTATTACACAAAAACCATTTTGACTAAACAGTGAAATGAGAATTTTAAAAGAAGGTAGGGGAGGAAGGAACCAGAAATCAAGAAAAATAACCATAGCTTTTTAGAATTTCATTAAAACTGATTCCCACCACCACCATCCCTTCATCGGCAATCTCCAATTAGAGGATCAGGCAGGTTTCTCCTCTCCTGGAGATTTTAAACACTGTTTGCCTCATACTTGTAATACTGTGATAAGCAACATAAAAGCAAGACTTGACATAAAAAGAAAAAAGAACTCACTTCAGGAACACAAGTATCTGTTTCCTTATGAAGAAAGAAAATTGACACAAATAATTTTTAAACTGTTCTCTGGCCCAATCAGCAGCACCAACACTACCACCCATGGACAAAGCCCAGATGGTATTGCCCCTATGGACAATTGTAAGGGCAGGACTGGCCACGGTGCAGGTTTTCAGATCCCATGCAGACCAGGTAAAGGAGGAGTCCTCAGTAGTTTTGCAGGTTTTTCATTTGGGGTTCACCAGGCATATGGCAGGCAGGGGTGCTGGCTGGGGGGCTGGCAGGCTGGCAGGCCTCCCAGGCCCCCAGCAAGTCTTCACTCTATTTGGGCTCTCTGGCGTTGGTTCTGCTGCTTCTTGGCTTTTCTTTCGGCTTCAGCTTCGGCTTCTACTGCTGCTTCTACTGCTACTGCTGCTGCTGCTGGTGCTGCTGGCGTCCCCCCGTGACGCCGCCCTTAAAAGCACAGTCTTAGCTCAGCTGAATCCCATCTACCTATGCCCACACCCTATTCCAGGTGCCCGCCATCAGGCATGCATTCAGGACAAGGATCCACCATCTATCCTGATGGCGGAAGGGCAGAAAAGCCTGACATTTTCTTTACCCTACAACAACTGAGACTGCTTTTGTCTGCACCTACTTTGAGATTCTTAGTATGAAAAGGAGCAATAGCAGTTAACTTGCAGTTCAGAGAGGAAAAAGTACAAGGAAAGCCAGAAAAGACCACCAAGCTCCTTTGAGCTGGGACTCTCCTCATGAAGGTGCCATGTCCACCACCAGGAGAGGACACATCGACACCTTTCCCTGGAGCTTAGCAGATGTCCCCAGTTCCTTTGCTTGTGTAGCGGCAGGAAGGGATGGAGTGCAGAATCTCTATGACCTGAGCAGACAGGGTAAAGGAGGAGTCCTGGAGCCCTCAGTGGCTTTTCAGGCTTTTATTGGGAGTTACCAGGTACACGGCAGGTAGGGGTGCTGGGGGGCCGGGAGGTTGGCAGGCCTCCCAGCCCTCAGCAAGTCTTCACTCCACCTGGGCTTTCCAGCGTTCTCTGGTGGCCTTGTTCTCTGCTGTTCTCATGGTTCTCCTGGCGTGCCCGTGATGCTGCCCTTATAAGCCCTGTCTCTCAACCCAGGTGAATCCCATCTACGCATGCCCAGACCCTACTCCAGGTGCCCGCCATCAGGCATGCATTTAGGACCACAAGGATTCATCATCAATCCTAATGGCGGGAGGGCAGAAAAGCCTGATACTTTTTCACTTACCCTACAGCTTGGCTTTGTGATAAAAACCCACAACATTTCTGTTCATGTAACTGAAGGGAAAACTTATTCCATGTTCCTCATTCATTTACACTTCAGTCATCAAAATATTGATTTTTGAGTTATTTGAAGTATAAAAACCAAACAGAAACTTACAGAATTTTCTTAATAAAGCTTAGATGAAATCTGCTTCTCTATTCCCCAGCTCTGCCCGAAGAGCAGGAAGGATTTGGGTCAGAGTAATGAGACAAACTCAAATAAGGAAATAATCGTTATGTTGTACACCTGAAATTAATATTATGTTGCATGTCAAGTAAACTTCAATCAAAAAAGTTTTTAAAAATAAGGAGGTCATCAAATCATTGCGTTTAAAACAACATCCAAAATTGTAAAATATTATTATGTCCTGATAATAGTTGGAATCACCTGTATCTCTTTGGCAAATTGCTACATAAGGCGATTGGAGAAGTGGGTGTTTTGCAACCCAGGCCGGATAGGTTCACCAATGGTTCTAGCGATTTGAAAGAGAATTGAGTAAGCAGGGGAAACAAGCCAGCAGAGAGAGGCAACTTAAGGCCTCTCCCCCAGGGTGATGCTGACCTTTTAGCCCCTCTCAGACGCACTGGTGTCCATATTTGTCCAAGCGCACACACCCAGGCTCAGGTGTTCACAATCGAGCATGCCCCACATCCACGTACCTTCTACATTCACACAATCAAAACCACAGGTGCTAGCTACAGAGGCCAATGGTGAAAAAAACCTGATCAACTTCATTTACCCTACATGGAGATGTGGAGGAAAACAGAAAAGTAAATTAGGGTGACTCATTCTAAATGAACGGATGAGTTTGAAAGAATTAAACCAGTGACATGGCTGAAAAAAATTAAATGATGACCTTATATAGCAGAAACATTCACAAAATACCAGGCTTGAGGTACGGGTATGTGTTGACAATGGAGTCTTCTCAAGACAACAGTCTCCTTTACTCCCAGAAGTGTTTCTATCTTCTGTTCTAAGGAAATAAAGCACTATTGGGAGGAACTTCTCTAGAGGAGTCAAATACTTCCAAAGTTGGACTAAATTCTATAATTTATTTATATTTCCCAGGAAATTTGAGGGGATTCTTCACTGGGTCATTTTGAAATAAGAAGGAATAGCATTTGGCTGTAAAGGGGAAAAACAAAGAAAAAGACAATAGCAGGCAATGCAAATTCAAATCCCCTTTGGGGCCACTAGGTAACATAAATGTGCGAAGTGTCAGGCAGAGAGAGTGGAGAGTGTGTGGTTGTGGTGGGGCAGAGAAAGCACACTCCTTCTAAAGAATTCAAAGTTTTTTTTTAAAAAGCATATGATGTTTGGCCAAACACATCTGTGTGCTGATTACAACTGGAGGACCTCCTACTTGTCACGTCTGCTAGGGAGACAGTCTAGATCATAGGGCACTAACAGCTGCACTTCCTTCTTTGGAAAACGAAAAGTGCTTCCAACTCAAACCTTAAGTTCAAGAAACACTGTTGTTTCCTGAGCTCCCCCTTTTTTCTCTATTCCTCTCACTTGCTAACCTCTTACCCCCAGGAGAGCTCCAGTTCTGTATTTACTTGAAACAGGCTAGATGACAGATTCCAAAGCAGCTAGAAGTGTCCAAACACAACTGCTGGATTTGGAAGGAAAATTGTAAATTTTGTTGTAAAATCCAGGGCAACTCCTCCTAGCATTACCATTAAAATACATATTTAAACAAATTGTATCTTCTTCTTCAGGCAAAAGTTCAGGGACCTTCAAACTGTAAGAAAAGGAGATTTCAATATTTAAGAAATGTTCGTAAAAGAACTGATTTAATCCAAGTCTCTCATTTGGCAATAATTTAATGGAGGGCTTAAACCAGAAACTCAAGTTTTAATTTCCTGTCTGGGGTGCTCCTTCCTCCCATTAATGTTTTCTATCAGTTTGAGGTTTATGTACCAATGTTAGGATCATAGAAAGATCTTCCTGAGAAACTAAGCTTTGAGTCTTAAAGTAAATAATAGAAACATGTTAGCGTCTGCTCTAAGAGTTGAGGAAAGGCAGCTGGTAAGGAGAGCTGCAACTAGACCAGTTTCCCCAGTGAACAGGTGAGTGGCAGAGTGGGCAGCTGCAGAGGAGCTGAGAGGATCTCTGTCTATTCTTCCCTTCTGCGAAGTCACCATTCAAGGTCCCCTGCAAGGCCACCCCTGAATTTAATCAGCTATCACCTGTTAAAAAAAACAAAAGTGACAAGGATCCTTATTGATGAGGGTGATTGCCTCCAGTTCTGAAATCTCCTCTGGAATGTGTGCATGCAGGGCACCACCCCAAACCTCTAACAACCCCACCTTTGTGGTCACCAGGCACTTGCCCTGGTGCCCAGGTTGACAGCGGAATGCAGATCACTGCTTTGATTTGAAGGGTGCACTGGGGAATGAAACAAAGGAGGAGCTTCTCAGCACTCTGCTCCCACGCGTAGATGAATCACCTAACTGGATGATACAGTGTGGTTAGGGAAACCCACATTCTTGCTATGGTTTGAAGCTCCAAAGAGCTTCATTAATTGGTGTTTATTTTTGACATTAAATGTAGGGAGCATAATTAATAACTGTCCTGGCTAGACTCCTGCCAAGCTTGGTGACGTTGGTTAATCTGGATAACCTCTCCATCTCGTTGATCACATTAGTCTAATAGGGAACTGGGTGATAGAGGCCATAAGTGCACCAGGCCAGAGCTCCTGATTGGACAAGTGGATGACGTCCTTATTACTTTTTCAGTATATACCAGGAAAACAAAAAAGGGGGCAAAGTCTTCTCCTTCC